GTTAATAAAGTTTTATTTTTGTAAAGTTTTATTTGTCATACTGTTGTTTCTAAATGGTATCTATTTGGTGAGTATCTTAACTCACGAAGGTCCATTAATGGGAAGTGGATTAGGCATAATGTGGTCCGGTTAAAACAAGATGAAAGGAGAGCATTAATAGACTATGCGGACTAATTAAAACCGAGACAAGGTCTTTTCCGGTCTTGTCTGATGCGAAATTCATAAGATTTCCGAATATTCATGACCGTTTTGCAGAGGCCACGGCTAGAATGACTGGGCGGAGAATGATGATGAGGTCAGGAGCTTATAAATTGGGATCAAATTGAGCGATGTTGAAACTAAGTTAAGTCGTGGATACGAAGAGAAACTTGGTTTCGATGAATCTTCTGAGATGACATTGTTAGAGGGACCTTCATTTCGAATGAAAGTGCTCAAGGAAGAGATTCGTTGGTCGATCTGACCAGATGAGGACGGATGAAACTCGTTGTACTGCAGCAATTTGGCTTCTGGACGATATTCATGTTGACGCATTTCACGAGACTTACTCCCTTGTTTCGGATGAACATATGCTGAGCTTTCGTCCATCATTCGACGGACATGAAAATCGTCTAAAAGCCAACCGGCTGCAGTACAACGAGTTTCATCCGTCCTCATCTGATCAGATCGACCAACGAATCTCTTCTTCGAGCACTTTCATTCGAAATGAAGGTCCCCCTAACAATATAGCCAAGGATTAATAAATAGTTGATAATAAGTAATTAATTAATTAAAAAAGAACAATAATAATACTATATTAATTAATACTTGCCTGCTGGAGGTTATGCACATTAAGCCAGTGCTTGGCTTAGGCAGGCTGTTAGTCTGCAAACTCAATTCAACCAAGTGTATCACTTTGTAGAAGACCATTAAAAATATTGAAACTAATTATCGCGGCATTTCGGCAAGATTTACAATAGATAAGTTAATAATTTCATTTATACAATCGTATACTACTGCCATACTACTCATTGCATTACGGTTTGCTAATGGGGCTAGTCAGCTTAATTATGGCCTGCACGTTTCCACCCGAAACGAGGGAGAAAGTCAGTTCGTCCGACGAATCTCTTCTTCATGCACTTTCATACAAAATGAAGGTCACTTTAAAAAGTTAAATGGCAATCAACATGTTTACAACAACTTGGGGAAAGCCAATTCACTCGACTCATCCAGTGTAACTGTGGACGAGGCTGTGACAATTTAATTGGAGAAAAAGATTTAATTGTGCACAATCAAATAAAGTTAACCAACATGTGGCCATGCTGGCTGAATTAATTGGCTTTTCGTGTCAGCTGGTGGAGGCGGTGGAGCACAATGCTGAACTGGAGGTGGTCTTCTACTCTCAGAAGACTGTCTGGATATCAGCATTGCGTACACACTCATCGGGTTGACGATCGGGTAAAAGCATGAAAAAAGCTCTCTGGTGGCGAGTCATTGTGAAATTTTATTTCTCATTATTTCATTCTAATCGGCCACCGGGACAAAAGGGATGTCCATTCTCCGACAACCGTTGTCGGATAATGAGTGAAACAGTTTTGTGAGACCTTAATTGCTGCTCGAATAGAGAGACTCGATTGGCCCCGGCCGGCTTCCTGCCTCTCGAGGACCGAGGCAGGAGGCAGAAGGGAGTGAGGCGAGTGTAGGGCGGCGGGAGAAGCATAGAAACGGCGAGTGAATGGCGAATGCCTACGAGAACACGGCGAGGCAGTTGAGCTCTCGAGTCAATTCTCGCTCTTCCAAGTAGACAAGATAGCGCCTCACATGGTCCGACATTCGGCGCACGCGTTGATACAGCATCTGCCGCCTCGCCTCGGCCCTCAAGCCCAACTGTCCGGCGCCGGCTCGCCAACCATGCGAGCCGAACGGGGCCGATTGAGTGCGCTCGAGCGGCGCTCGGCCGGACGCAGTCTCGGCCGCCAACTCGATGCCCAACATGACCTGCTCGCGAAAACGCAAACAGCCGAGCTCGCGTCGCGCCACACGACGCGCCTGCACCGCCAACGGCGCCGGCGTCTCTCGAAACAGACGCCGCATCGCTCGGCTTAGTCGAACCAACTGCTTTTCAACAGCCTCGCCGTCGCCCTCGCCGTCACAATCGACGTCGCCGTTGACGTCACAAATGAAGTCGCCGTTGACGTCGCCGTTGGCGTCGCCATCAACATCACCGTCGACGTCGACTCGAGCCAAAGGCGTGGTGGTGAGCCAATCGGCGGGCAGAGAAGAGCGCGGCCCGATTCGGCGACGGGACTGAGCAGTCGACCTCGCCGTCGGACACGAGATGGTCTCGCTCTGCGTGGGGCCGGCGACGCGGCGATGCACCGCGTCGGGCAGACAAACGGCGCCGCTGTAGATGAGGTTGAAGAGGAGCAGAACAAAGCGACGCAAGACCGGAGACCGGTCAGCTCCGGTCGTCAGGTCGCCGACGCCGACGCCGACGCCGACGCCGACGCCGACGTCGACGTTGACGCGACGGAGAGCGGCGCAGCGTCGTTGCGCCAGCCAAGTCAACACGGAGGCGTAGAGATTGGCGAAACCGGGTGCATCTGCCTCGGACGGGTCGAGCTTGGTCGAGGCGAACGTCGACGGGTGGGAGGAGTCGAGGAAGAGGTCGGCCGGTGGCTCGAGTCCGGCCTGCAGCAGCTGTCGCACGAGGCCGGCCGCGTCCAACAGGTTGGCCGACATGCCGCGCCGGCGCTTGAGACTGCCAGCCAGGCCGAGGGCAGCGGTGGAGCAGAGCTCGCGGAAGCGCTGGCTCGTGACGCCGCCGTCGACGTCGCCGTCGCCGTCGCCGTCGCCGAATGGGACGATGCGAACGGCGGCTCCGGCTCGGATGAGGCTGGAGAGGAGGAGGGGCAGCGTGACACTCGCCTCGAAGCCGAATCGCGCCGGCAGACGCAACTCGGTCGGCTCGAGTCCGGCAGACCGTCGCCGTCGCCGTCGCCGTTGGCGTTGGCGTTGGCGTTGTTGTCGCGGCAGCAAAGCGGCAAACGCAGTCAAGCGTGTCGGCGCCGCATGGTCGACGCCGGCCGCCTGCGGCGCGTAAGTCGTCCGAGCGGCAGCGTAGACGAACAGGTCGAGGGCGGAGGCGAACGAGACGACGTGTTGTCGCGGCTGTTGGTACCGGCGCCACGTTTCGCCCTCCGCCAACATCAACTGCGGCCGATTCAGGTCGAGGCCCGTGTCGACCAAGCGCAGGAAGACGTCCCATCTGCGATGGCGCAGCGCCAAGCCGAACAGCATCTGCTCGTGTCCAACGCGACTCGTGCAGCTCGTGTCGCCGCTCCACCTAAAACCGACTTCGCCGTCGCCCTCGCCGTCGCCGTCGCCGTCGGCCAGTGTCGACCGGGCGACTCGTCGTCGAGGCAACGATAGGCGCGAAAAGAGTCGGCGGCGCCGGCGGTTCGAGTTGGCCAAAGTGCGACTCGACTGTTCCGCAGACGAGGCCTCGAGCTCCGAGAAACGCCGCCAGCCCGACTGCGCCTCGGCTACGAGGAGGCAGCACAGTCGTTGGTTGTCATGGCTACAGTTCGGCGCCGTCTCGTCGGAATCCACGTCGGAGAGGTCGTCGGAGGAGCCGGCGCTGTTGACCGACTCGTCGGGACGGCGTCGCCTCGGGCGGAAACACGAGCTCGAGCCGTTCGACTCGGCGACTCGGGCAGCTCGTGTCCGGCACCAGCAGAATCCGGCCCGGCTGGTCGCCTTGACGACCACCTCTTGTCGCCAACTGGGCGAACGCGCGACCGGAGCCGGTTGGCAACGCAGCAGCGCCTTCTCGACGAACTCCAAATGGACCTCGGCCAGCGCCGAGGGCAGCTGCAAACACAGACTCGACCTCATGCCTGAACAAAATGTGACCGGCCCTGTGGCCGAATCCCCTTAAGGGGGGCAAATGGCCAAAGAGATGGCCTCTTCTAATTGGCCCGTTGGCCAGAACCAA